ATTTGTCAAATTACATATTTATTATGTAAACATTTGCACATTAACTTGCCTTGTGTTGTTTTGTTGTTGCACTTACAAGCATTCGTACAGAATTTATTTGCACATTTGCAATTTGAAAATGCATTGCCCGAAATGAAATTAAGTGTTATCTAATTGAAAGCTTGTTTCCGATAATTGTGTGATGATCGTTCGGGTTCGGTTGTGCTCAAATATTTACAAGATTTCTCTGGTAATTTATGCGCATAAATGCATTTTTAATTAACAACAAATGACTGTACAAATATTTATTTGGTTACTTTGCAACTCATTCTCATTTTGCACTCGGAATTTCTATTCGGAAGCAATGAGCATTGAGTCCTCAATGCGGGTTGGTCAGATATTTTGTGAAAATATAAACAAATTATCAAAGATGAAACAATTTGTTTCGAAATTATTAATTTGTATTAGTAATTTAGAAAACGTTTACTACAGTCGCACTGAAGGTATAATAATTCCTTTCACAAAAAAAGTTACCTTACAAGAACTTGATTTGGATCGATCAGTTTGTATGGCAGCTATGTGCTACAGTAATCCGATCGGAAAAAATTTTAACGGAGCTCGTTTTTGAAAATTATTTCATGCCAAATTTTGTGAAGAAATCTTGTCAAATAAAAGTTTTCCATACAAGGACTTGATTTTGATCGATCAGTTTGTATGGTAGCTATATGCTATAGTTATTCGATCTAATCAATTTCTTAGAATATTGAAGCATTGCCTTTGGTAATAATCTGTGCCAAATTTCATCAAGATATTTAGTTAAATAAAAAAGTTTTCCATACAAGAACTTGATTTTGAACTTAGTTTGTATGGCGATTCCAACAAGAAAGCAGTTTATTGAGGAGCAAAGAAGCTGTGAAAAATTATTATTTCACGCAATTTTTTCTCTCTCTCCATCTTACTTTCATACTAATAATATCTTATCTTTATGTCTTATCGCTGCAAGGTTCAATAACACAAATTCCAAATATTCTAAGCAACATTATGTCCATTTTTAAGTCCTTCAAGCATTGCTAATATAGGTTTTATGCTGAACCACACTCCATACTTATTCTTACATAATAGTGTTCTGAAGTTACTAGATCTTATCATTACATAATTTAAAACGAAAATCGTTATTATTATTTCTATATTCCAACTAATTATCCGCCAATATCATATAATATTTCCAAGCTTCACTTGTATAGACTGGTCTTTACTCTGGCATCAATGACTATATCTGTCCATTATTGCACAATATTAAAGATTATGCTTCACTTTCGAATGGACGAAATCATCTAAGTGTCTACATTCTTGTGCCCCGTTTAGACGATAAGAAACTTGCTATCAAACATAAATATGAATTGAACGGCGCTTATATTTCAGATTATAGTTGCATTTACTCCTTATTATTTTCATGGTTTCAACAATTCCCCGTAGCGAGGACCAACTAATGCTTTAAAACTTGCGCGAGGGGGTGGCTGAATGATTTAAACAAGCTCAGGGCCTGAACTTTTTCAATTTTGAATATCACCCCACGAATTTTAGGTAGGTAAGAGTGTCGCCCCTGCATGTATAAAAAATAGCATTGCAAAATTATTGATATAAAATTACACATGTCGATTCCTCTTTGGATTATTGCCGTGCTAAAATTTTGACACACTATTAATCGGATGATTCCTTGAAAAAGACACTCTGTACTATTTTCGCCGCAACTCTACAACGAACTGCTTTCGTCTGGGTAGCGAAAACAAACTGAATGTCCTGCACAACTTTTACACCCTCGATGTCGCTCTTTGCTGTCTGCTAAAACAAATCCTATAAAATTATGCGAAAGAAAATGTCTGTGGGAATGACTTAAAAAATGGGGTTGATAAGAATGTTCGTAAATTCCACTCTCCAAAGACTTGACTGCTTTATCTTAAATTTAATACAGTTTATGTCACAAATTGCTCAAATTCGATGCCATGCCTGTTTATTAATTTTGTGATCAACCAGAAGAAAAATTGAACATTTTATTTCAGATTTATTAGCACAAGAGGAAACCCTATTAACATAAGAAATGCTTTGAAACAAGTACCTTGACACAGGGTGATTACTCTATTTCGACGGAAGTACTATTGATTTGGGAAGACTAGTAAAACATAATATATACATTACTATTGAAATTTTCAAACAATTCTTAATAGCGCAGATGCTCTCTTACATGTTTTGGAAAGAATTAAGTCTTGAGGACCATTGTTGATTTCGTTTAAGGAAGTCGAGAAAATGATTGGTACTCTCTGTTTTCATAAAACGTCTAGGCTGCGAAGATTATTAAAACTTGTTATTTTATTATAGTATTTATTAATACTCCCTGGTCAACTGCACCCCAAATGACATGATGATGAAGAACCCGCGAAGGCAATACGTGTATATGTGTGCTCTTTTTCAGCTATCTGTGTTTATTCGGTGGTATGGTGCATACAAAGCTTTCCAGAAATTAATTTTGGAAAAGTTTTTCTAGTAAAAATTATAAAGTCTTAGAGGTGGTTTTATTTGGTGCATGGAAAATAATTCGCTTGATAGAAAAATCTCACAGGATGTGCGCTTTTAAAAAGCTCCATGGAAAACGAGTAGGTTAAAAACTCTGACAAAGCTTTTAAAAGGTTCCAATGATTCTCCATTTCCGTTATTTTTGCAGTATGGTGCATTTTTTGGAAAACAGCTTTTGCTTTTATGCTGTCGTTGTTGCAGCGAAACTTTAAAGTTCGTTTCGGCTGTTTCAAATAGTAACCATAAGATGACGCCTAAAAGACACAAGTATCATTCGTATGATAGAAAATGTATAAAAAAAATTTAAGTAATTTAATTTTTATGTTTAAAGTTTTTTTAGATTAAGAGTTGAACATCGGAGATATGCCTCATCTTAAGACTTGGCTCTCCTTAGCCATAAATCCACTTCGATTTAAAAATTACACTAAGTTTCCAAATCGACAAGAACACTTGCTTGTTTCGAATAAAATATATCAGGCCTATCATAAACATTGGTAAATCTATCTGGGGATCTAAAAACTTAGTGAATGACTTCTCCTTATTGGAACCATAGAAAAATATTCACATTTTCTATAAGAGATTATTGCAACTAAATTAATTATTTCAAAGTAAATGGGGGTAATAACTACAGAACACACTGAGGCTAAGAACGCAAGGGAGTAAAAAGTAAAAAGGCTCCATCTCGAGGGGTTAAAAATAACATTATTTGAGTTTAATTCTTTGTTTTCTCTATTTCTATGGTTCACTTTATACTTAAATATGTAACTGGTGATTTTTTAGGCTTGCGATTTTCAATGAGGCCATACTTTTTTCGGAGTTGGTCTTTATGACAGTTTTTATTTAATTTATACTCAGTTCATGCGCTGCGTTCCGTATTCGGTTGACATAATGGCCGAACAGATTCGGTAAATCCAGCAAACATGGATCGGTTTCACACCAAGTTTACACCACTGGATAATTCGCATAATCAGAGCTGCCGTACAGTGCGCACCAAAAACGCTACTGCTGCTGTGGAGTAGAGTATTGAAGAAGGCCCGAATGAGTCCATTCGTCAACGCGCGGCCATAATACAGTAACAGTCAATGGAGAATGCCACAGAGCCATGATTAATGACTTTTTCGTTTCTAAATTGAAGGATGTTGATGTGGACGATCTTTGGTTCCAACAAGACAGACGAACTGCACTAAATCGACTCAGCTCGTCACGCTGAGCATTTATATACATATTATATATACTTTATAAGGTCTCCGACGTTTCTTTTTGGCTGTTACAAACATCTTGGCAAACTTTGTATACACTGTTCAATGTATAAAAATGAACAACTGCTTAAAAGAAAGTCCACTTTTAATAGCGCCTAGTCACTAGTGGTTCCCTTCTTATGCAGCTTTGTAATCTCCTAGTCCTGTAATGTATTTTAACACAATTTCACGCCTATCGTTAGTGTGCATTTGACCCAAAATTTATTTAACGGCTTAAGTATTTAAATGCACGAAATAAAATTAAAGAAATAGAAAGTGGAATCGGTAAATTGGGGCTCTTAAGTTCAATGACCCAAGTCAAAACAAAGACCACAAAACTTTTTAAACTTTCTAACATGCTGCCAGGCAGAGGGAGCGCTTTCGAGTTTAATATTTATTTCTATTTTCCGCGTCCTTTTTCTGGCATTTCCACATTCTTTTCACAACTAAATAAGTAGTTTTGCTCGTAAACGTTGTCTCAGTCAAACAACAGTTAACAAGAAACGCGCAACTTTTGCTGAAAAAAAAACAAACGTTATTGTGGTAACACAAGCACTCGCAGCGCGTAAAGGACCAAAAAAGTGTCTGCGAAGCTTAGTAAACTAAAGCGGTGAGAACAATAAAATGCAATAAAAATTGCAACAAAAACAAAAAAAAATTTGAAGAACGGGAACACTCGAGACTGCAGCTGAATTTTATGAAAATACAACTTTGCAAGAGAAATGATTGTGTTAAACACAAAGAGGAAAAAGAAGTATACAAAGAAGAAGCAGAGCCAAGGGGCCACAAACTAGCATAGAGCGCAGCAAGAGCGTAAAATCTCGAAGTTACTTTCCGCGGCGCGCTGTTGGTGACAATGACACTGGCAATGACCATGATGTCGCCTTTGCCCAATGGAATCCACCTCATTCATGTTGCAGTCGACCGTGAAAATGACAGCTGCAATCATGCCAACAACAAAAACAATAACAATAAAAGCACGAAGCGAGAGAGGAAGCAAATCACAACAAGAGCCTGTGCAAACGCCGGTGAATGCCACCACAAACGACATGACGACTGCCACGGCGCGTCGCAAGCAGGAAGAGTGATGAAGCAGCAACTTAAATGGCGGCAAAGCGGGACACGCAAAACTTTGTTTAGAAGTAGGCAAGACAATGAAACGGAAATGACACGAAACAATAATTATTTTCGCTTTTCTCTTTTATTTTCCATATTGCTTTGTTTAAATGCATTTTTCGCAACACGTCCCTTTTTCTACTTTTTCTTTGCTAGCAGTAACTGATTTTTGTGATTGCCATTGTAACTATATAAATGCCGCGCGCTTTATCGGTCTCCAGTAATGTTGGGCAGCTTCCCCTTGGTGTTTTCGGGCTCCTTATTTTCAACGTTGTGGTCATATAATTGCCTCATCCAGTCTTCCAACAACTTGCTGTCGTAATTGTTGGCGGTTATTAAAGGCCTTTTGAGCTTATTGTGTAACCTTCGAAGGCGTTGTGGCAAGTAAACGCAGAAATAGTAGATCAATTCGATGACACTTATAACGGAACAGCCGAGAAAGAGTGCGGTGGCGTTGCCGAAGTTCACTGTGAAAAGATGTGAATGAGTTAATAAGTGTGGCTTCTAATGGGCTCAGACATGTGGAAATCACAAATCAGAGCTTATACATATTATATTTTATATTGTATTGAAACGCTATAAATATACTTAGCCTCTAAAAAGCCCAAACCTTTATCTTATGGGAACTAACCTTAAGTTTAGACCTCTTTACTAGTTCTTGAGTTAATTTTTGGAAATCTCGATTAATTTCTAGGTTATTTTTGAATTATCAGTGCCAAAAGTATTCAAAGAGACTCCCGGAGAAAGTGAGATTCTCAGAATAAATATTTCAAAATGATCTTCCTATCAACGGAAGTACTTGTAAATTTTTTATATCGTAAGAGAACAAGGCTTTTCCGTCAGCACAAAAAGACACTGAAATGAACTAAGTTGCACTGAGTTACCGTTGGAAAAGTTAAGATGATAACTTTCGTAAATTTCAGATTATTGAATTGAAAAGTATTGAAAAACGTCTATGTACTGAGAATATATGCTATACTAATTAAGTTACAACCCACAAGGTATGAGTTTTGTCAACAGCCTCATTCCCTCATACAAAACTTTTTTTTAATCGCCTAACGCTTAACATAACCCCACCACATTTTCCTTCCTCTCTTTTCTACTCACCTAACAAATCCACCCAAGTGTAAATGACAGTCGTGCGAAAGACAACGATCGAATCGCGTATAAAGAAAAAGTCGAGGTCCACAAATGAATCATTCGGTTTCTGTTTGACATTTGGCAGATTGTAAGCGCGTATGTCTACGTGATAGGACAGTGACAGACAATTTAGGAAGCACTCGCAGACCATGCCAAGCTCTTGCAGGGTTGCCGGTAAGACATCCCTTTCGCCGCTTTGCTGAAAGTACTTCAAACGATCTGGAAATATGAAAAGCAAGTGGGATGAGGTATTTTTTTAAGGACTATGCGAAATAACGTAACGTAGCTTACCGTTATTCACCGCCAAACAGGGCATGTCTGACAATTTGCAGGACGGGTACTGACCCGGTGGAAAGAACATGTCAAATGTACAGTTGCAAAACTTCATCATATGTTCTTGTTGGCATTCGGCTTGGCAGTTTTCAAACATATATTTGTGGTTGAATAGTGTTTTGAAGTCGACGCTGTTATGTTCATGCTGGGAATTTAGAGTAAATATCACATATATATATATATTCTTCATAAGAATACAAAGTTTACAATATTTCTTTCGAAATTTTATAGATTTTACATATAATTTCTATGTTCCTTTCTCTAAAACTTGTTTCTAACAGTAATTAGTAGTGGTATGAATATATGTATAATTATAAATCACTTCAAGTTTCTGTAAGATCGAAAGTTATACTCAAAGAAAAAAGTCTCGAAGAATGCTATATGAAGGTCTTAACCATATACTTTAAGATCACTTCTTAAAAGAGCTGAAATCCACTTACATCGAAAACGCACTCGCGGACACTCGATGGTAAACTTCGAGTAGTTGAATCGTAGAAATTTAGTTGTGCATTTAACTGGACGTAAACCTTATCACTCAACAAGATTTCATTGCGAAAACTCCACCAGACACCTGGCTGCATCAGCATAAACTGCAATTAACAAGAAAAAAACAAAAATATGCCGAATTTAACAATACGACCAAATGCAAAACTTGTCTCTTCCGCTCTCTCTCCCACTCTTAGTCACCCTCCTACTCTCTCACCATAATTCTCTTCGGGTTAGTTGCAAAGGGCGAATGCAACTGTTCGTTTATCAGCACTCGCACGTTTAGACCATTATCCGGCCCCTCTTCACTAGCATGTAATGGCCATTTATCATCTATCGATTCTGTTAATTCCCCAGTCATCGTTTCGATTGTATTGAAGGACATGCAAAAGCCATATACGGAGCGACGTGCTATAAATATATCACAACAATTCATGGGATTATGACGCCACACACAATCTGTCAGCAGTTCGTCACAGCGCCACGCCATAAATTGCGCCACGTTAGTGAAATTCACATAGTCCAAATTATGAAGCGATTTGTTGCCCAGGCTTTCAAATACATCGAAACTACCGAGACGTAAATTGTCATAAAGTGCCACGGTTTTTGTAAATATTTGTTCCAGCTCGGTGTTGTGGTGCTCGGGACGTAGAAAGTTTTCTTTTGCCGAAGTGAAACGCGCCCAATTCAAGCGATTTTCATTACATATATGCACCTCGGGGAAAACGATGCGATAAACCGGATAATTTGTTGAGTTAATAACTGTCTTGAACTGTTGTTTGTTGTAGCGCGCGGCGAGCATTTGTATGACGAAGATCAACATGCCGAGTGCAAGGAGAAAGCCAACGGTCCAAAATAGGCTGAAAGCGAGAAAGATGTAACTTTTTTATGAGTCTAAGTATATGTTGTGTATGTGTTTATGAACCAAATTTGCGCCATTTTTGTGTCCTCTTAACTACACTTATGCGGAAAAGAAGTGAGTGACGAAGAGTGTGAAATGCTGGATGGGTGTTCCAGAATGATAAATCGGCTCCACAAGATACTGTTGTCCTAAATATAGATATTTGTTTTTCTTTTTCTAATGTTATTGCTATATTTCTTATAGATATTTTTTTTTTCAATTTTTTTCACACTCGTCACAGTCGCTTACCGCGTCAATCGATTCATATTTGCCTCGAATGTCTTGTTCAGACCATGTATGCTGGTCTGCTGACCGAATTCGGTGAGTAATTCTTTTACGATTTTCAAATCTTTACTCGCTTTATTCTGCGCATTGTTATGCTCGCAACGGTTTTCAAATGTTATCAAATTAGGGCGCGGATAAATTCGAGTTAAGCGACGATTGCGTACGATCTCTTGTGTTAGCATTGCTTCTGGTACTTAATTAAGATAACTTCTTGAATTTTAAAATAGTTCATCAATATACTTAAAAATTTTATTTTCGAATTCGTGTAACACCGTTAACACCTCGCTGCTTAAGCGTGCACTTTCACTTTGGCGCTGCGAGTGGCGCCGCTACGCGATTTTATACACAGCGCAAATTATCGTTATTCGTACACTATATTAACTCTTAGTAGACCGCCGAGGTAGGCGAGGAGTATCTGTGGGTTGTCTTTTATTTACTAGTGTCAACTGGTAACATTTTACAGCCCAGCGCTGGCGCTCGAGTGAAAGAGTGTGCACCAATAAAGTTTATAAGCATTGCCTGTATTTGCCGTTATGTGACCTGCGCTATTTAATTTATTGTAATAATGAATAGTTGTAATACAAACACATTTAATTTTGATTGTCGTTTGATTGCAACTGCGACGCTGACAGGTGGCATTCAATCGTCCACATACTATTCAGTGGTAAAGAACTGGATGAGAGTGTGTTGGTGCCTACATTTAATATATGTGTTAATTTGTTGTTCTAAATGGCACGTGTAGTGCATATTTTAGAAATGCAAAATTACAAAGTGTTTAAAGAGCTAATTATATGACAACTTGCTTCAGCCAATTGCTTTCATTTAAGGCTTATCTCTTCGAACTTGAGCTTGTAACGATTTTTGCTCAGCAACAACTTTTCTCTTATTTATCAGGTGAATCTATATCACAAACACACATCAAGATCGTGTATTAATAATTTATACTGCCAGAACTATAAATCCCTTTTCACCAATTTTAATTTGTACGTTAGTTGATGTGGTTTTACTGCAGAAAGTCTCTCATACCTTGAACTTTTTTCTATTAAATGCATATTTTTTTAAATCTTCAGAACTTTATGATGTCAAAAAAGTGTTCTAAATATTGAGACATGAAATATGGTCTACATGGCTTTGATGCAACTGAAACTATAATATGTATACACTAATATGTACTTAGCAAAGACGCACACCTTATACGAGAGTCATGAAGACGGTTGACATCAATTATATTATAATTTGAATTCAATAAGAAACACAGTAGTAAATATCCAAGCATTCATTTCATTTATGATACCTACAATAAAATGAGATTCGTCAGTAAGAGACTTCGACTAGTTCAGAAAACCTAATAAGAAACCAAGGTCTTTTGTATCTACAACCCCAATCATGGTAAATCAATTAACCCACCCTAAAGATCATACTCTACCATTAAAACAATCAATATCATATTAAAGAATCTTGCTACATAACTTAACTACAAGAAATACTGGATGATGCACAAATATTATTCAAAATAACTTAATTTCAAAACTTCGGCTGTGCCCTGTACACATCCCGATATTCTCTCAACTTAATTTTAGTCTGCTCGACCCTGGAAGGTCTTCGTCTTAGTTGATGTGGCCGCCCTTGTTTCTTCCTTATACGTCTCGGTGCGACTATAAAAAAGAAGTAAACCAGCTCGACAATACTTATAAGAGAACAGCCTAAAAACAGTCCGGTGGTGCCGCCAAATGAAACTGCGAAGAGAGAGTTGGATAAAGAATACAATGGTAATAGCTAAACCTTAAAAATCGTACCAATCAAATCGACCCAAGTGAAAACCAAAATCGTCTTATATTTCGTAATGAAATCTTTTTCAAAATACACGTCTAAATCAACTATAGTGCGGTTCTCCACAGATTCCGTGTGCATAAAGTCTCTCGATTTGATTGCAACAAAGTAGCGCAGGGAATCGCAGCTCACAAAACAGCTACACACAATGCCTGGATATTGGCTGGACATGTACTTCTCCTGACCAGGTATCTCGAAATTGACTAGATAGTCTGTGAAAGAAATTATGAACGCTAATAATGTAAGAAGTAACCGTTTATGTGTTCGATTTACTGTTATATTTTGCCAAGCAAGGTAAATCCACGAGTCTGCAGTGTGGATAAGGGCTCGGTGGAAAAAAAATATCCAAAGTACAGTTACAATACTTCATGAGATACTCCTGCTGGCACTCAGATTGACAATTTTCGAAGCGATAGCGATGACCATAAAGCGTTTTGAAGTCATCACTATTCTGCTCATCCTGTAAATAAGTTATAGGAGGCAACTTGTTAAGGAGTAAGCTATGTATAACCGCGCACACACACCTTAAATACGCAACCACGTTCACTGGAAGGTACGCGCCTCGTCTCGTCTTCATACTTATTAAGGAAACCATCCAAAGTGATACGCGTTCGCGTCTGACCGGAAATTCCATTGGTATGTAGTACCAGACGTTCGGTTCCACAATCATTACTGCAAAATATGAGTTAGCAATCAAAGCCAACTTAATTGGTAAGCAACTCACCGTTATGCCATCAATACCGCCTGTGAAATGTTGTTGTTTATTCAACATAACCTTAACGGCGAGGCCCGCATACTTCCCACCTCTATCCGTGCGCCAGGGCCAAGTTGAGTTGTGCCTTTTAGGCATTTCCACCGAATTGAAAGCTAAACAGAAACTAACTGTGAGCGGCGCTCCATGAAGATGTCACAACACTATGCACGTGACTCTGCCATTTGCAATGCGTGAGTATCTCCCAGCAACGCCAGGCCATAAAGCGTGCAACGGCAGTGAAATTGATATAATTCAGTTCATGTAACGGAAATTTCTCTAACTGCGCGAAACGATCGAACTTACCGAAGGTGAACGTGTCGTAGAGTCCAATTATTTCGGTAAAGAGCTCTTCTTTGGAGTTATTGCGATGCGTCGGTAGCAGGAATTTATTCTTCGCCTCTAGTAGACGCGACCAGTTAAGCCGATTCTTATTGCAAATCGTTACCCCGGGGTATTTCACTTTACGTAATGGAAAGTGTGTATTTTCGACGACTGTCTTGAATTGTCCTTTCGCAAAGCGTGACGCGAGAAAGAGGCAAACGCAGACCAGTAGTATAAAAGCGATAACGAATGCGATCGTGCTGAGAGCGCTGCAACAGGAATGTGTGTATCAGAATAATTTGTTTTGTTCAACTTCACCGTTATCATAACTTACCGCTCCAATTTCCCCCACCCGGCGCCAACATACACGTTTACGCCATGAAATGTGGTCTCCTGGCCGAACTCTTGCACCAATTCACTAAAACTTGCAGTCTTTCTCACATGGACTCGATTCTTGCACGCTAG